TTTGTTGAAAAAAATATACATTGATAGTGTACATTTTCTGTGCTTAACATCCATGTGACCCTAAGTCTGGACAAAAGTTCCCTTTCTATGAGTTTGGCTGGTATATCCCAAAGGCATCCCCTATCTTGTCAGTGGCATACCTACTCACCAACAACCATACCCCCATTTACTAAAATAACAAATTCAGTTGGACAAATAAAAATTAGAGAAGCAGAAAAATTTGGGGAAATGATTAATTTATAACATACCAAACAAAATCCAAACCATTTTTATGACTTTTTTCTTGTTTGACAAAGATGTATATAATCGTGTGATAATTTTAACCTACAGGATAGAGAACTTATTGAGCAAAAACCATCCAGTCCTCTACCCAAAATTATAAATTGGTTAAACAGAGCATTTACGAAAATGTTTATACAAAACAAACACTATTTTACAACTTTCCTCTTAGCATCAGAGCCCAAATGCAATTTCAGGGCCAACCAACCCTGCTCTGAATTGTGACCTTCTGTGCTTGAAATGAGCTGCAGATTCTCTTAATATTTGCAACTTGGTCACAGAGCCATCCTTACCCTAGAGGCAGGATCATTGCAGTCGACTTTTCATCCAACATGCCAGCAGCCATCTCTGGTCTGGGAAGATTAGTGAAAGCGTCATTGACGATTGGTGCAGTCTCAGTAAACTCCAGGGCCATGCTACCCTCCCCTGGAGTTCAGTTGCATCATTGTATCATTGGGGGGTGCAAGTCAGATTAGCCTTGTGTACACGAGGAACGTGTGAGAATGACTGTAATGTGTTCAAGTGCTTCAACATTTGCCAATTTCCAATAATCAAATGTTACATATCAAAATGTTTCTTCTGTAACAGTGTGCTGCCTTGACATCTTGTAATTATAATAATATAATATTATTATTATTGATTACGCAAAGCCAAATATTATCAATATTATCAATGAAAATCTTGTAATTACCTAACAAGATCTGTTCTGTGTTTTGATTTCCAATTAAAATATTTATAAACTAAAATAAAAATATCAATACAAGTAAAAAAAAAGTACCTCTGGTTAGTTATTAATACTTCTTCTTTAGGAGACCCAAACCAAACCAAACAAAAAACTCATGTTTTGTCACCTTGGACTCTGTCAAAAAATAAATTGTTTTTTTGTTTTTCCAAAAAAAAAAAAAAAAATCAATTTGCGCGTCTGTCCTACTATGGTGTGGGTCACTCTAATGCATCAAATTCTGTGCAAAATGTTTCAAATTCAAAAAAAAAAAAGCAAAATTTTTTTTTATCACTTTCATTACAAAAATGACATTTTTAATTTTTATCACGTGATTTTCCAAAAAATGCATTTATATT